TATAGGTTTATCCTTATTGCTTATGAACCTCTTCTTTTACAAGCACGACGTGCTTGCGATGCCCCTTTTGTTCCTTTATTGTACAGTGTCTCCAGTAATTGTCAACAGCATATCGGAGCCAGCTGGTTGCAGTTTCAAAACGGTAAGCCCCGTAAGGACTGGTGTGTTTTTCTGTGAAGAGAGAGATCGCTCCCCCCCCCCCAACCCCCCCAACTCCCCCCCCCCCCCAAAAAAAAAAAAGAGTTCTGCCGCTTGGAATAAAATCCGAGATTACCCTTATAGTAGTCCGTTGGATAAATGGGTCCGAAGTCAGTAATTATGAAGGATTTGTGAATTTAAAAAAAAAAATATATTTTTTTATCGCTACACGAATACAAAATCATGATTTCGCGCGGGCATGTACGTTTATTGTACGTTTTTATTGGTGCGCAAATTGAAAGTATTTACCTGTGCACGGTGCGAACGATAGCTTTGCTCACAGCATGCGAACATCGTGTTGAGTTTTAAGAAATGTTCCCGACTAAATGTTGTAGATACCACCGAAAGCGGCGAGAAGTCGTGTATTCTCATTTTATATTTATTAAAAAGACTCGAGCTGAGCAACGATTATTTCAATTGTTGTTTTAAAAACCTCGCTTTATTATAGACTGTCTTACAACACTTCTACACCAATACTTACATGAATGCCTTTAAACAAAAAATTAGTTAACTTTTCTATTCAGACTCTATTTTATTCAATTCTATTCAAACAATAGTTTTTAAATGATAAGAACCTTAGTAAAATTGTAAACCTCACCGATATACAGAATGATGTTTAAAATGTAGAAGATTGAGCTGTGAAGCATCTTTGTTACACTCAAAGCTTCCAGACTCTTCGACTAATGTAACTATTTACCTAAAAAAAAAACATTTCTGAAGTTAAAAAAAAACACGTTTAATTAATTTTAATATCAACATGTTTCGAACGTGAACTTAAACGTAAATATTACTAATCAAAGATTATGTAATAGAAGTGTGACGCATATTGAACTTTAAGATTTAAAAAACAAATTATGAGTACATCATTTAATTTACTATAAATCATATAAAGGATTTTTTTTAAAAAGAAGTATATCTGAATTCAAATATAATAATAATCAAACAGCTCAAAATAAAGCCACTCATCTATCCGTGTCTTATCTCATCAAGATAGGACTTAATCCCACACAAGAACCTACTGGTCTTAGCATAGTGGACACCAGCAACTTATGGTCTCCAAACACGATACGTTTACTGTGCTGTAGTAGGTCACTCACAAAACTCTATGACAACAGATGTGTTTTACTTCCGGTATAACCTTGAGGGTATTTCATAAAGCACTCACATTTTTTACACTTTATTTTAACAGTTCTCAGCGCTGAGCGTTACTGCAACATCCCTTACAACAAAACTTACATCCACAAAGAACAGCTAAATCACTTCCATCTTACACTAGGCACTAATACAACAATTTCTAAAACACGCGTCACGCGCTCATTGTGTGCTACAAGTACTAGGCCACTCTCTGACAAAACACTGTTTGATTGAACACAAAGACAGATTTGTGTTTTTATTTGAAAAATCCTTTTATCTTTGTAAAATGTGTCGCGTGATTAGTTAGTCTTAACAGTTGAGTGAGTTGGTTTCTTCAAGGTATTTCATTATCAAAAGATTAAACAATGGAATTCATCACTGCCATTGAGGGCCGGATTTCCTATAATGCAAAAGAAGACCAAAGACTAAGTCGCGGAAGTCAAGCAAGGGCTGGATTTGTGTTTACACAGAAGAAATAACAACCGGATATTTAGGTAATTTTTCAGTACTTTATTTAATGTGTTATTAAATGTACATCCTTATACATCAAAATAAATATAACAATTGTGTTTCGCATCTCTACAGCATGCGTTTTTTTCGCTCAGCCACAGGCAGAAGGCATTGGTTATTTCTCTCTCTTTCTCTCAAACACGCAGCATCAACCATGTGCTAAAAGGAAAGTTTCAGATATGGCGTTTCATGTGTATTGATCCAAAGTACTTCATTGCACTCATATAGATAGACATATACCAATGACATATCTACGTCAAATGTATCTTTACCACTGATTATACTGTGTAGTTCATTCAAGGGGCGTCAGTCTCAAAGATGTGAGAAAATCATTTGGTGGGAACGGAGGGGTGGGGGGGGGATTAGATTTTTATAACACAATATGAGTAGTGACGTAATGATCCGGTCTGATCCCCCTGGAGTGTGCTACTGCTGTTCAGGCTGTCGAGGACTGCTGTCTTGCTGTGAAAGATTGGATGTCATCAAACAGACTAAAATTAAATGATGATAAGACTGAGGCAATTATTTGTGTTTCAGATGCCAATCTTCGGAAAGTTACCATTGCATCAATAAAAGTTGGTGAATCAGAGATCCCGTTGTCCTCGACTGTCAGAGACCTTGGCTTTTATATTGATAGTAAACTTGATGTGATTCCCCATATAAGTTCCGTAGTCAAGGCATGCTTCTGTCATCTGCGTGCCCTGGGTCAGCTGCATCCTCAACTCAATAGGAGAACAGCCAATGCTGTAGCAGCACGCATTGTATCGCGGATGAAGAAATCGGACCACATCACCCCAGTTCTACGAGATCTCCATTGGGTTCCTGTGAGTGAGCGCATGAACTACAAAATTCTGTCCCTGGCGTACAGCTGCATAGATGGCTCAGCACCGGAATATCTCAAGGAACTAATTTATAAACATGTACCACTGAAGAGCCTACGCTCTTGAACACAGTACTTACTGAGTGTTCCTAGAGTGGATGAACACAGACAAAATTGTCTTACGGAGTGCGTTCTTTTGAAGCGATAGCGCCAAAATTATGGAACAGTTAGCCTCAATCTTTGAGGAGAATTGTAAATGATAAAAAATCATTTAAGAAACAAATAAAAACTTTTTTGTTTCAATAGATTTCGGAGGACCAGAGCGCAGTGATTATGCTAAAGTGGCATGGATATCAGTGCGATATAAATATCAAATCAATCAATCAAAAACATTTGAATTATAGATATAATGTGATTCAAAAATTATATATATGTATATATATCACATCCTTCCGTCTTCGCGAGACGATGGAGTAATATGTAGTCCGACACTTCGACGAGTGTTTCACTAGGCTAATCCTAGAATAACAATCTCGAGCGCATCTCTCGCAGGAGAATATTGATTCCAGTTAAGATCTTGACTTCCGTATTGTTCTTTTTGTTGCTAGGGCCTCGTTTCGCGTATCTTCTGCCTTTGTTACTCCTTCATACACTGCTGACAGCTGTTCGTCAGTTGGAACGTTGTTCGGCAATGAGCCCCCATTTGTTGATATCAATGTTGGCTTCCCTCAGGCTCCTTTTGCGAACGTCCTTAAATCTCAGGCGTGGGAGTCCAAACAAGTCTTGTCCCTTCTGCCAACTCTCCATACAGCAGCATCTTTTGGATACGGCCTTCCTCCATTCTCCTTACATGGCCTAACCAGCGAAGGCACCTCTTGCTAAGAAAGGAGTGTGCACGTTCCAAGACCTCCGTGTTACGCACCTTGTCCTGCCATCGAATACGTAAAATACGTAATCAAAGACTATAAAGGCTGTTTTAAGTGGTTTTTTTTTCAAAAATAAACGGTTATATATTGAACTGGAAATCGTATAAGGTTTTAGAGGGATTGTGGGGGAGGAGGGTTGAGAGGGGGAGGCGCAGAATTATGTTCTCTTGCAAAGGGCGTATTTTTTTCTTTACATCTGGCCCTCCTACTATTATGTTAAAAAACATCACGGTGATCTTTTTGTCTGCGAAAAATATCTGGTTACTATTCATAAGAATGATTTTAGATGATACTGATTGGAAAATTGTTACTTAACCCGTTCAAACCAATAAAACACATAAGAAGCCAAGCAGAGTTTACGCTTCGAACTTGTTACACATTTTAATTCCAGTAATAAACAAACGTTTAAGACAGTAAATTATCGATACATCGATTATACTTAATTTGGATTGGAGAACATGTGACTTGTGAAACTTTTCGAATCCAAATTAATCCATCTATCCATCAATCCATCCATCCATCAGACAATATATTCAGCAGTGTGTCGATCTATTTGATCTCTGTCTATCCTTGTATCAGTCTCTATTTTGTTCAGTCTTTCCGTCTGTCCATCCATCTTTCTCGCTGTCTGTCTGCAGTTTAACATTCCGTTGAGCCTGTGTGTTTGTCCGTCTGTCTCTATCTCTCTCTCTCTCTCTCTCTCTCTCTCTCTCTCTCTCTCTATATATATATATATATATATATATATATATATATATGTGTGTGTGTGTGTGTGTGTATCTCTCTCTCTCTCTATATAATATATATAATTTATATGTATATGTGTGTGTGTGTGTCTCTCTCTCTCTCTCTCTCTCTCTCTCTCTCTCTCTCTCTCTCTCTCTCTATATATATATATATATATATATATATATATATATATGTGTGTGTGTGTGTGTGTGTATCTGTCTGCCTCCGTCAATAATGAACATAATTTATAAGTATGTTGTCAGCATGCAGTCATCTTTAGTCAACTTTATTTTCAAAATTATCTGGATTCAAGAAACTCGTAAAACCAAAATGCTTATCAGGAATATAAAATAACTACTATATTTATAAATATATATATGAACATACCAATTACATAATTCTCTCTGTAACAACTACCAGATGGCGCTGGGCACAATTTTCTTTGCAACCATGTCACTAACGCAACAAGATAGCACGAATCTCATTGAATAAACCTCACCCTAACTGGTATAAACCAAATTCTTAAAGGATACGGTAAGTGGGTTTGGTGCGGTGCGAAAACTTTTTAGTTTTTGTTTGACGGAAATAGTTGATGTAAGACATGTGCGGTGTCACACTGGGTGGGCCATTTTAATACTCATAGAATTCAGGTGGCGGTGGCGTACAGGGCCCGGTGGGGGGGGGGGGGGAAAGAGGGGGGGGAGGCGGGACTTATTGGATATCTTATAAAGGACGTTGGGCGAATGCATGATTTGTCAAGTAACTTTAGCATATGGGAGGATCACGCATTTTACGGCCACCACTGTTGGCTGGACCAAAAGCAAGTAGAGTCGTATTTATTTCAATACAACAGATTTATCCATCTACAAATAATAAAAGGGATGTGTAAAAGTGAATTCATTCAAATGTTGCTATTTTACCATAATGCTAATAATATATATCTATATATATTTAATATTATGTTTAATATGAACATTTTCAGTTTGAAGAAAACCACCGTGAAGCAATAAGTACAACATTTTCCCAATGACTCATGGCAGATATTTTGTGACTCACTTTTCCAAGACAATTTTTAATGCATTCAAGATCAATAACCCCCCAACCCCCCAAATTCTCCTTCCCTGTTCACTTCCTCCTTTCATTCTTCCTTCCCTTTCATTATTCATATGCCTTTAATATTTTTTCCAAAGAAGCCGTTCAACTTAGAATGTTATTTTTAAAAAAATGTGTTTGTCTTTGATCTCAAAGTTGAATTGAAAATTTCTTAGTTTTTATTATTATTATTATTTTTTTAAATGACTCTTCTGAGGAAAATAAAATTAAAGCTTTAGTTTATTTTTATCCTTCAAAAATTGCTTATGGCTTCGTATTCTGTCAAATGATTTGTTAAAAAGATATTGGGAAAATCTATCACAGCAGTTGTTAACAAGAACTCAGCATACGTTTTGCGGTAAATTAAATCTTAATAACTTTAAGTTTAACAAGAAAACGCTTTTGTCTCACAAAAATTACAGTTCCTTTCTTATTTTTTTTTAAAGAAAAAAATACTATGTACATTTATGCTATCAGTCACTCTCCATAGGCGAGCCATATCGAAAGAATAAATATTTATATTGCTACATTTGTTTTTAAATCTATAGATGAATAATTCAGTCTCTAAGATTATCATGGTAAACTGTTGAATCCGCTCCAGCGATGAAATGTAGTTGAAGACAAATCCGAGAGTCTTAAAACCAGGACTTGTGTCCGAGGAGCTGACCTACAAGAGCTGTGGTCAAGACAGATCCCAGCAGAGCCATCGACATTCCCATCAGTCCCTTCTTGATGTCACCTGTCGTGAAATGTTAGACATTTTCAAGGACGTTATTTTTAAACGCTTTCGAAATATTGAATGTATTTGTTGGCAAAAACTTTAAATTATTTAAATTCTAATCAATTTAATATAACAATTTATTTATTTTCAACGCCTCTTAAAAAAAAAGTATCTTCGGAGATAGATGCGCTCAAAGAAAACGCTTCTCTACACCGCTTTGTTCGTTTCATTTCAATAGTGAACTTTAAAAAAATGTGTTTATAATTTATTTATTTTTTACCTTGAGAGCTCAATAGAAATGATGACGTCTCAGTTTTCCCTGTTCCAATAATTGAATAATAAGCCGTACATTTACAAGTAATCCACTTATCCACTAAATTTGTGGTGTATGTGAATGTCGCACTGGAGCTGTATACGCTGTCGGACGTCGGAAGTGCTTTGTCTGGAATCTTGCAAGAGAACTCAATTTTTTGGACTAGACTTGACGCCGAACACGTAAATACTTCACTAATTTCTTTTTTTCCTTGAAGATCGACTCTAAGCCTGTAGCCCTCTGTCAAGATCGTTCCCTTCCACGTCACTCTTATTTTAGCTGTCAGACAGAGGATCGAACATTGTTTAGGCTAAGACTGTCATATTAATATCGGGGAAATTGCTATGTTAACATTGATACAAAGAGTTTCTAATATGTTTAGGTTAAGATTGTCAATTATAAGATGTTATGTTACGGCTGTGAAATAAATTCATTAGATTTAAATGGCGTTTAAATATAAGCATTGTATTTGTAAAATCATTTTCAATCCAAGATAACGTTGTCATTATGGATCATCTTGGGTAAAGCTAAGACGAACTCAAGGATTTCATTAGTGATAAAACCAACCGTTAAGTAAAAAGTTTTTTGTATCAACCATTTGAATTATATTTATATTTGTTTGCAATTATATAAATATACGTGATTTGTTATTCATTAAGAATCGTTTATGTAAATGAGTCAACTCCTAGCGAAAAACACGCTTCATGTTTCCTTCATTTTGCCCTTGAAATACATTTTATTTTTACTGCATACCCAAATACGTCACAAAGACAAGGCATATAGCCACAGCTACACACTTAATCTCTACACCAAAACACGCAGCCATTGAACTAACCCTGAACCCTTGTAACCGTAAAAAAAAAAAACAGATGAAAAAAATGGTTAATGGGTGGGGTTAATGCTAAAAATTTGATAGAAAGTGTTGTCATGGGCAACGAGTCTATGTGCCAAGTTTCAGCTCGATAGGTTGACTGGGAGTGGTTCAATTATCCGTCCGAAGATTTTGCCAGCCAGCCACGAAAAAAAGCAAAGTTACTGTAAAGGTTTTAAAAAATGTATTCTTTGAGTGGTGTGTTATCTTACACAGACCAGCTCAACCGATTGCTATGCAGACGACGTGTTTACGTCACATTTCACACGTGCTCGTGAACTCTAGCTGACCCAAATTCGCCTGCGTTAATGATGGACGTGGCTTATTCCCTTTAATCTTGGCCTTGTTTACTACCAACTGAATAAAATGAAAGGTCTGTATTTATCAGATTCTTGTAGAAAATTTTGGAGAAAACTAGATATAAAAACAATGTGCAAGGCGTTTCCAGATGCGTCGGTAGAACCGACGCTTATATATAATAGGATTCAAAGGTCATTGCCAGAGGGAGGATGATAATCCATAGTAACTTAATAAATCTTATTAAATGTAATATTTGCACTGTTTTGATTGTAGTATTCTCTGTTATTGTTCTTATCATTTGGTATCGTCTTGTTATGCACTGTTCTGGAACGAGCCATGCATGTAAATAGGATATTAATTTCTCCCAACTGATAGCAGTGCGTAACACTAATGTATAGGGGTTGAGGTATAAGAACAATTTGCCTTCATACTATCTACATACACACATACATACGCACACACATATATATATATATATATGAAGTGTATTGTCCATCATGATGATTTGGGGTAATTTTATTACAGGTCTATACATTCAACATCAAGATTTCAATGGAACTTACGTGTAACATTGACATTGAAGCTAGACGTCAGTGTGTAACGTCCTGTGACGTGGCCAGCGCTGCAGACGCACCGAGCGCCGTTCCACGCAGGAGTAATGTCAAAGGAATAAGCGGCTTCGTTGTCCTTATCAAAGGTTACGACTTTATTATTACATGTGAGAGTAATGTTGGACACCAGCGGGTAGCCGTCGTACACCCCATAAGACAAGATGATTGTTTTGTTAGTGCGAAGCTCCAAGTCGATATACAAAGTGTCTCCATCGGCCAAGGTCTGATTTCTATTCCATAATACAATTGGTGCCAACCCGGGGACATACGGGACAACTGGTCAAGACAAATTTAATATCATGATTATACATAAACATGCTCTGCAAGAAAAAGTTAAATACAAGTTTATGCTCATCTAGATTGACAAATCCATTCAAAAATTACACTCTGCTCGTCTACGCATCGACCGTGTACACCAGTGTTTCATTTTGATGACAATTTGTACAACCTTCTGTTTAGAATAAATTATAAAACAAATTGTCAGGTTCTCAATGTTCCATCTTTTCGTGGCTCCTTAGTTGTTGTTTTTTAAGCAGCGAAACATTCGTTTTAGTGGGCTCTACTTGGAGACATTGAATTTTTAAAAAAAAATCAAGTATTTACTGAAATTTTAACATACTTTCCCTCAAACATAATTTGTAAAAGAAAAAAAAAATCGTGGATCGGGTCATGTATTGTGTACACTGGCGGGATGAACAAAATGAAGCCACCATGTCTTGACATAACACACCGCTGAAAACCTCCTGACAGTTTTCATGCCTTCTCAACTGCCTTCACCAGACTCTCTTCCCGATCGCAATATTGAGTGACTTCTCAGTCCTTCTTCTTAAACTCTTTTAAAAACTTGACCCTCTCGTGGTGTACCGTTTGGGGGGGGATGGGGGTGGGGGGGGAGTGGGTGAAGAAAGAGAGGGCAGGGCGTTGCTCTGAGGAGGGTGAAGTGCAGGTTGGGAAGGGGCTGGCTCAGTTTAGAAACGGGTCATGTGATTTTATTTTGTGCGTGGGTAGTTTGAGAACATGATGAGACGGTTGTCGGGATATGATGTGAGACGTGTGGGTTCGAGAAACTAGGTCATCTGAAAAGTAGTTTATCATTAGAAAAAGTGTAATTCTGTATCAATATGCAACCATTGTGTTAGAGTCACGAAAATTTTCACGAAAAACTGTTCATGCAACACACTGTTAAATGAAAACCTGAGAACGAACCTATAAGGTTAAGATAAAATGACGTCAGTCCAACAATGTCCCCGCTAGTGTTGGTCACGGAACAGTGACACGCCACGACTCCCGTTCCGATAATCCTGAGAAGAAAGGTCCCGGATGGGCCAAGACTTGAATAGTTCAATGGCCGTTCGGTGCCTGACGGGCAGGTCAGGTTGACATGACTGATGCCGATGGTGTCCGTGTCCAGTCCGCACGTGATGTTGAAGGCGTTGGTGTTGGTGTTTGCTGGTGCCGTTGCATCATAGGTGCTGCCGTTGGCCACGAGCGTCCCATTGGCATCCCCGATGTGCACTTGCGGTTCAAACTGTTGGCCACCTGGTTAGGGAATAAATAGATCATTGAAAAGAGTTGTTTTCTTTCTGAAAGCCCTTAATCATTTAAAAAAAAAAATCTTTTGTTTTTTAATTTATCTGAGTTTATATAAGTTTTTAAAAAATAATGCCATGATCCAAACACCATGACCTTTTGATAGACAAACAAAAACTTAAGTAAAAAAAATAATGCCATGATCCAAACACCATGACCTTTTGATAGACAAACAAAAACTTAAGTAAAAAAAATAATGCCATGATCCAAACACCATGACCTTTTGATAGACAAACAAAAACTTAAGTAAAAAAAATAATGCCATGATCCAAACACCATGACCTTTTGATAGACAAACAAAAACTTAAGTAAAAAAAATAATGCCATGATCCAAACACCATGACCTTTTGATAGACAAACAAAAACTTAAGTAAAAAAAATAATGCCATGATCCAAACACCATGACCTTTTGATAGACAAACAAAAACTTAAGTAAAAAAAAATAATGCCATGATCCAAACACCATGACCTTTTGATAGACAAACAAAAACTTAAGTAAAAAAATAATGCCATGATCCAAACACCATGACCTTTTGATAGACAAACAAAAACTTAAGTAAAAAAAATAATGCCATGATCCAAACACCATGACCTTTTGATAGACAAACAAAAACTTAAGTAAAAAAAATAATGCCATGATCCAAACACCATGACCTTTTGATAGACAAACAAAAACTTAAGTAAAAAAAATAATGCCATGATCCAAACACCATGACCTTTTGATAGACAAACAAAAACTTAAGTAAAAAAAATAATGCCATGATCCAAACACCATGACCTTTTGATAGACAAACAAAAACTTAAGTAAAAAAAATAATGCCATGATCCAAACACCATGACCTTTTGATAGACAAACAAAAACTTAAGTAAAAAAAATAATGCCATGATCCAAACACCATGACCTTTTGATAGACAAACAAAAACTTAAGTAAAAAAAATAATGCCATGATCCAAACACCATGACCTTTTGATAGACAAACAAAAACTTAAGTAAAAAAAATAATGCCATGATCCAAACACCATGACCTTTTGATAGACAAACAAAAACTTAAGTAAAAAAAATAATGCCATGATCCAAACACCATGACCTTTTGATAGACAAACAAAAACTTAAGTAAAAAAAATAATGCCATGATCCAAACACCATGACCTTTTGATAGACAAACAAAAACTTAAGTAAAAAAAATAATGCCATGATCCAAACACCATGACCTTTTGATAGACAAACAAAAACTTAAGTAAAAAAAATAATGCCATGATCCAAACACCATGACCTTTTGATAGACAAACAAAAACTTAAGTAAAAAAAATAATGCCATGATCCAAACACCATGACCTTTTGATAGACAAACAAAAACTTAAGTAAAAAAAATAATGCCATGATCCAAACACCATGACCTTTTGATAGACAAACAAAAACTTAAGTAAAAAAAATAATGCCATGATCCAAACACCATGACCTTTTGATAGACAAACAAACACTAAATTTAAAAAAACAAAAACAAAAAACCCCATCATTTTAAATGTTGAGCTCAAGTCCAACTAAACTCGTTTCCCGAACCTACACAAATGTGTACAGCTGTCGATTTAAAAAAAAAAAAAAACATGAACAATTTCAAGAAGACCAATTTAAGTCAGATGACATACAACACCCACTAAGGCTTATTTGAACAGTTTTAAATCTTTTTCTTACCCGTCTATTACAATGTTTTTAATAATACACTTACAGATAAACACAATGAGGTTTAAGGCCAAGAAGATGGAACTGTAGAGCATCTGTGTCATGGTATCGGCCTCCGAAAATTCAGAAAAAAATATCTTCAACTCTCCTTGAAGAAATGGTCTATTTTTAATCAATCCCAGCCTGTCTGAATGAACATAAAAATCCTTATTACTTTTTATGTAACCTAATTTATTAGTTTACAAGAATCACGAGAATTAAAATAACACATTCCTTCCTTTAAGATGTATACTTTATTTTTCCACAGCCATCTGTAAATATTTTCAAAGTAAAAGTATAAAAGAGAAATATGAAATGATGATTGAAAAGTATTGTAAGTATCAAACTTAATTTTTGTCAAAAAAGGAAAGAACTTCTTTAAATGTACTTGAAAATAAAATTAGATCCTACAAAAAAGCTAAAATAAGACAAGACAGTACCTATCTCAGTATTATAGCAATAGAGTGCCTATACGAATATCTTTGTGTCGCCTACCCATAAAAGTGCAGTCGCTTTGCACGTCATGTCTTATTCCCTACAAGATCATATGACTTTGTGATGTATGTAGTGTGCATTACTCCTTCAAATAAGGCGTACGTAAGAGTTTAAAAAAAAAATGAGAATCCTTTCCACGCTCTGGTGACAACATACACTAATACAAAAGTCAAAAAATATTGTGTTGTGTTTACCTTCACCACGAGACACCAGCACTATGTTGTGTTTACGTTTACCACGAGACAACGGCACTGTGTTGTGTTAACCTTTACAACTAGACATCAGCACTGTGTTGTGTTCATATTTACAACTAGACACTAGCACTGTGTTGTGTTTACCTTTACCACGAGACACCGACACTGTGTTGTGTTTACCTTACCACTAGACACCAGCAGTGTGTTGTGTTTACCTTTACCACTAGACACCGGGCCTGTGTTGTGTTCACCTTACCACTAGACACCTGCACTGTGTTGTGTTTACCTTACCACTAGACACCAGTACTGTGTTGTGTTTACCTTTACCACTAGACACCGGGCCTGTGTTGTGTTCACCTTACCACTAGACACCTGCACTGTGTTGTGTTTACCTTTACCACTAGACACCTGCACTGTGTTGTGTTCACCTTACCACTAGACACCTGCACTGTGTTTTGTTTTTACCTTTACCACTGATCTCCGGCAATGTTTTGGCTTGAGCACAAATTCAGTCCTTCTGTTGCTGATGGACACCAAAAAACCCCTTATATAGGGTACAAACCTAGCGCATCTACCACCCTACTGAGAAAGTTAAGCCCCTCCTACCGTAGCAATTGGTCTATACGCGCATATGTCTATGCGCCTATGCGCCCGAGACAAAATTTACGTTGTGCCCCAGGAGTCACCAGATCATGGAAGGAAGTAGGCCGGGTTTTTCCAGGATGGCACAATCCTACTTTATTTCTTCCGCTAAACAGTTAGCGAATCCGGTTCGATCATGTACCCGGTTTTTGGTCACAGGAAAAGGATGTGGTAGAATTCTTAAATCGATTTTTTAACCAGCTATTTTTCAAAGTCAGATCACGTGATTTCATAAACCGCAGTTTATGTCATACTGTAATTGCCAATCTATTTTTTTTCCCTTTCAAATAACGAAAGAAAATTCTAAGAACACAAAAAAAAACTCCTTTGATGAAAGGAGCGGCATGTTTAATACAAAAACTATTTTAAGAAAATCTATATTCCAAGTTCAATAGCTGAATATATAAGAACATTTAGTAGAGTGCATACGCATTTTATATTTAAACATTTCAATTTACGAACCCTGAGATTAAAAAAAAAGTTTTTTTTTTTTAAAATATGACCGCACACTTTGACGTATATATTTACGCAAGCCAAATACAAACCTTGACTGCCACGTGACACAATGTCAGAGAAACGTCGACACCCAGGTACATGTATAAACATGAAATACCTAAGACCTCAAACTTCCTGTAACCTAATCACTTGTAAAAATGAGGTGACCTTCCTGGAGTTGTTGATGCAATCTAAGGTCGCCATGTAGATGTCATTGCACGAAGAAAGAGAGGTCGACTAAAAAATAAAATTTTAACTAACAAGTTAATTTAAGATCTTTAATATTAAAAAAACAAACTGAATCATCTCAAAAACTAAAATAAAACTTATCCATGCCCTTTCTTTGTTTCCAATCTTTTTGTTTCAAACTTTTTGTTTTTAGTGTAAAACTATCTATTCCTAATAAGTGTCAGACGGAACGATGAAATAATTCAGCTTGTTTGACGGAAATATGAAATAATTACGCTTGTAACCTGGAGAAATGAAATAATTCAGCTTGTTAGACGGAAAATTGAAATAATTCAGCGTGTTACACGGAAAAATAAAATAATTCAGCTTGTTAGACGGGGAAATGAAATAATTCAGCTTGTTAGACGGAAAAATGAAATAATTTAGCTTGTTAGATGGAAAAATGAAACAATTCAGCTTGTTACACGGAAAAATGAAATACTTCAGCTTGTTAGACGGAAAATGAAATAATTTAGCTTGTTAGACGGAAAAAATGAAATAATTTAGCGTGTTAGACGGGAAAATGAAATAATTCAGCTTGTTAGACGGAAAATGAAATAATTCAGCTTGTTAGACGGAAAAAATGAAATAATTCAGCTTGTTAGACGGAAAATGAAATAATTCAGATTGTAGTGTCGGAAAAATGAAATAATTCAGCTTGTAAGAGTCGCTACCCTTTTCTTAAGCAGCAATGTGGTCCGATGCCTATAACACCACAATTTTTAAAAGGCAGATTTAGGAAACAGGTATCACTTAAAGATTTCATCAAAAGGTTGTGGGGGGGGGGTGCCCCCCCCCCATTAGTTTACTGTGTCAGTNACCCACACATTCAATCATCCGTGACACAACAATTAGCCATCCGCGACCATACAGTCAGCAGCCCGTGACCACATGGGGGGGGGGTGGGTGGGAAAGGGGGGGGGGGTCGTGAAACGCGGGTTTTTGAATCAGGAGTGGGAATGTTACGCACAGCTCGGACATTTCATTATTATTTTTATTGTTGGTGACCAAGAGTACAGAGGAAGTTTGGGGAGTACTTTCAGGTCTACTCTAAGGGCATGGAATTATCGATTGAGGAAACTCTATTTTAAATAAGCTATTAAATAATGGATGCTACTTATTCTACACAATTTGATTCGATTCTGGGTACAATTATATTATTTGATAGTTGTTCATTTCAACTTTTTATTGTTTAATTTTCCTTTTCTTACGACTATATTATTTTTTTTGTGTTCTCATTTCCCCACTTGTTGCTTGGAGCATTTTTTTTCCTCGGTTTCGTTCGGGATGTTAATCTTAAAAGATTTAATTTTTGAGTCATTGACGTCAAGCATAGCATTTTACAATGCCGTTGGTCTTATCTCAATAATAATAATATAATAAAAATAACATTTATACTATTAATACTAATACAGAGTTCTTATATAGCGCGGTCCCCCAGCTATTAGGGCGGGGCTCACAGCCGTTCACATAAATGCGAACGCCCCGACCGCTATACAAACAACGGGGCGCAGTTTTCGTTTCAGCCACCCTTTTTCAGGTTCACGTCATAAATAAGATCGTTTGGGTAAGTCAGTAGACGCCGGCGATCATCAAAGACAGCCGGAAGTTTTAAATACCCCCAGATTGTTGATGTGATGAAATACTTCCGGAGAGGTCTTGTTAATAGTGTTAATCCGTCGTCATGGATTAACCTCTGCGTTGACGGGATAAACGGTTGTGGTTTAACTTCCTGGTTGACGGGATAAACGGTTGTGGTTTAACTTCCTGGTTGACGGGATAAACGGTTGTGGTTTAACTTCCTGGTTGACGGGATAAACGGTTGTGGTTGAACTTCCTGGTTGACGGGATAAACGGTTGTGGTTTAACTTCCTGGTTGACGGGATAAACGGTTGTGGTTTAACTTCCTGGTTGACGGGATAAATGGTTGTGGTTTAACTTCCTGGTTGACGGGATAAACGGTTGTGGTTTAACTTCCTGGTTGACGGGATAAACGGTTGTGGTTTAACTTCCTGGCTGACGGGATAAACGGTTGTGCATGTGACGTAAACCCCATTGGTTTAGGGGAAGGGGAATAGCCGCGAAGGTGAATATTGATCTCGTTGACTTTGAGACTGTCCTTCATAAAGTCAGTCCATCGCCGATGTGGTCAGCTTCTGGTCCCGAAACAATGGAGTGAATCCGCTTGTTAAGCCCTGTTGACTTGACCACAACTGTGACGTAGATTATAAATCTGCTCTAAATGAAGAGATTTTTGAAGTAGCACAGGTTCCCCACCGTCATTTTTTTTACGGCCCCATATTTCAGAAGCCACGTGACTCGTGACCCCGGAATCATTAACTTAAAAAAAAAAAAATTAAGTTAAAGAAAACACAACGAGAATTGGTTATTCCATTATCATATGCTGCACTAGCAAAGATACAACCAAATGGGGGTTACGACCCATGAGCTGGGATCTAGGGCATTTTAGAATCAATAAGAACAAAACAAGATCTATATATTTTTCAAAAAAAAAAACAAACAGACTTTAAATGTGAAGTTTATTAATGTCATGTAATGTATAAATTGATGTCAACGCAATAAGACATGCATGCCAAGCGTACAGAAATGAATGTCGACTGAAGGCAACCAGCAACACAAAAAAAGTGAGCTGTTAAATTTCTAGGACTTAGCAATGACAAACAGCATTCATTTTGATTGCGAAACAAACCGATTTCGATTTAGCCATAGTATTGCTACAACAAGCAGCTTTCCATATAGCCAAGGCATTGATAAAATAAATATCCTTGGAATTAGCAATAGCGTTACTAGGTAGACTTAGAACTAACGAAGTGGAAAAAAACAAACACGTATCTTGGAAGAAAGCAAAGACAATATTGTTCATAAAAAAAAAAAAAGAAACATTGATTCAACTGGCAATGAACAATTTGATGAGACGAAGTATTAGACAATAACAAAGACAATGTAATTGCTCGAAAGCGTTGACATTGAGGGGCAAGTAGTGCAAAGATTGCTGGGATATTTGGTTCTCGGAATTTCCAAAATCAGTAGGCATAGGTCGAATAAGGGTAATATATACTGGAGGGAAAATTTGAGCTGCGGGAAAGCAATGAAAAATATTTTTAAAAAATATAGATTTGTAGAGCGTTAAGGTACGAACAATGGCATGGCGAGACATTGTGCCACCTGGGTCGAACCCCCCCGACCCCCACCCCTCAACCTTCCCCACGCCACGCGTTACCTATTGTTCATTTATTCCTGTTGACGAACTCGGTAGTGTCTTGTCGGAGCTAGCACCAGGGGAGATCAACACCATAAACAATTTTTTCCGTAAGAATGTTTGCCGATCTGACCCCAATGGCCTGCTCTCCTTAAACGATATCTTGATCTGAATCGTCATTTTTTTTTTATGGCCCTACAACCCCCTTGTCAATGTGATCAGAATCCTACGAAGATAAGAATTTTTAATGTTAGCAGCTTGAGATCAAAAAATGTAATATTGTTAGTGTACTCTCCATTGGCTTCTCAAGCAGGTCATCGACGTCTCGCAGACTTTTAACATTACCTGACATCCCCTAGTCTGACAGACCTGCTGTTACCTTGTCCGACAGACCTGATACCTTGTCTGACAGACATGTTACCTTGTGTGACAGACATTTTACCTTGTCTGATAGACAATTTACCTTGTGTGACAGACATGTTACCTTGTCGATTAGACCTATTACCTCTTCTGACAGAAAGACTACCCTTGTCAAATAGATCCG